ACCGATAGGCAGGTATTTTGCTCTAAAAATAATTTATTTACGTTTTTTTTGTTATATACGGGGAAAAGAATTTCCGTTTAAAAAATCAACATGAAAAATTTAGTGCGTTTACAATACCACTCTTGCATTTGCATATGCATCGCGGTCGGGAAAAAAATATAATGTAAGTATGCATATTATATGAAAATAGGAGAAAAATATAAATAAAGGAAAATGATAATTAAGATGACAATAATAAAAAGTTTGACAGCTAAATGCTTTTGACAAACTTCTTTGTCACATAAAGTGGAAGGTTTCATTTTACTTTTTTGCATATGCATTACATATTTTTGGTTTTTATAATTTTTAAACAATATATATTAGAATTGTCTGCAGTTCCATAGTCATAAGCTCCGTATTCCTAGTCACCAAAAATTTATCTTATTCGAATTTACTTTTACTCGAAGTGAACATACGTTTTATTCTTCAAAATCGAATGTGCAGACAGATTTTTGTCATTCTCTTAAAGGTTGAAATATTTCACTTTTAATTTTTTTTTGATTTGACAAAAGTGCGAACATTGTAAAACAAAAAGCTGATAGTTTAATTTCAGGCTTTAATTCCATGACTAAACTTGCATTCAGGATGATAAAGTTTCCAGAAAATATTTAATTATGCGCAATGTGCAATATTTATTCCAAGTTTCCATTGTTTTGAAAGGATTGGGAGGGGGGGGGGGGGGGGGAGGAAGGGGGAGAACGGGTGAGCGTTTTTTTTGGATAAAGCGTAGAACATCGAACAAGTCAGGACCGGTTCTGTTTATACTTTGGTAATGTTTCATTCTCATAGGCCTTTTACTCTTTCAACGTGGTAAAGAACCTTCCATTGAAAATTTAAAAAGTATAGAATCAATATGCAAAGAAAGCTGTTAAAAGTTCTGTCGTAACTGTAATAAATTTATTTACACTTCCATAGATAAAGTATATACTAAATTAAATAAAGTGCAGGCTGAAAACATTTTCAAAATAAAAATTTTTGTCATTTATTAATAAATATTTTAAATTTTTTACAGAGCAATAACGTACACTTGCCTGTAATGCCAGAATTAAAGCCGTTCTTCAATTCATTATTAGTGAGATCTATTGCACATTTGTGATTTGAGCTGCCGCACATAAATAGTATACAATACAATATTATTGCAAATATATGGGAACAGCAAAAAATTATGGAAATTAACTCGTGTGTCAACTCATGAGTTGTTGGGTAAACATACAGGAGGACAAAGTAATATGAAAATTTATAAAATTTATTGACGACCTTCAAGAGAATCAAAAAGAAGAATGAATAACCAAAAACCGTTTGCTAATATTAAATTGACTGTAACCATCAAAAATTTTAACATCTGCTTCAAAGTGTCAAAGGACTTTCTAGACATTGATAAATTCAATCGACTATATATTTTATTGACGATCAATTTTGACGAAATCCGAATGCATTACATGGGATGTTTTGTCTTAAAGATTAACAAGTAAGTGAATATTTTTTACATATAAAAATAATTTATTGAATTTTTTTTTATAAAAAACGAAAATTTACCTTTTCACACACGTACAGATTTGAATATTGGAGTGCATATGTTCAAAACTGATACAATCATACTTGAAATAAAAATTTTGTTTTTTCAAATTTCCTTTAAAAAACAAAGAAAAGAAACATGTCAATGCTCCCCCTATTAATTTTTTGTTTAACTAACATATTAAAACAAACACACAATATCTACTTGGCTGTATTACAACAATATTACACTTTTACATTGGTGTGTCCTGCCGAATAAAAAAAAAAAAAAACAAAAAAATGGGAGTATTTTATATTTAAAATTATTTTTATTTGTACATACATACATATTAAAAATATAAATAACATTCGTATTTATATTACTGCGAAATGTGATTGTGTGTAAATTATTACACACAAATACATAAAAAATATTCTTCAAATTTTCAATCCCTACTATTCATGTGTGCGCGTTCGATTGCGTCTGTGTGTTTTTTTTTAGTTTTTCTTATATTTTACAAAGTGTAGTAAATATTTTTAGTAAATTTTGAATAAGAAATTTTTTAATAAAAGGATTTGATCGTGTTTGATCCTTATTTGAAAAAAAAATTTGGTTTAGCTTTGATATATAAGAACCAGTTTCCGAATTTTAAGGCCTTTTTTTCTTAAATTTAATCATCATTATTTTTGAGAGCCCTCCACTTATGGTGGAGAGGATTAGGACAGAAAGATTAAAACGAATGAGATCTCGTGATTAAGATTAAAGTGCTGATAGGGCACTTGAGTGCCTTTACGCAACATGTACAGAAAAACACGATAGAACAAAGCTAATGATTAATCAGTTTCATTAATTTTAAGAAATAATGATCAGATCAGGTGAATTTTTGTTTGGGTTAAAGTCCCCCAATATTGATAGGTCTGACGATGATCTGAGTCCGCCTATCTGCCTATGATTTTTAACACTTATATAGAAAAGAAAACAAACTCATGAATGATGTTAAACCGCAATTTTAGAATTTTTCGGAGACACACAAAACTTATTCCTATATAACCGAAGTTGATGGAAAAACTGAGAAATTTCTATACTACTACAAACCGTTTGAACATTAAGACACTATTTCACTTAGTAGAACTAATGGAGAGCGTCCAGTTAGGCAAATTTATAGTTATTCGTGAGGCTTATACGCCTTTTAAAGTATTTAATAATACTAAAATGAAGTTGTATGATCGTTTAATTCAATCGATCGCTAATATATTCCATCCGTATTCCAGACTGTTTCTGGCTTGTACAACACATACATTTATATATTATGATAACATGTGCACATTCTCGTATATCATTTGTATTATATATAAAATATATAGAAATTCTAAGAAAAAATGAAAAAAAAATATTTGTTATGTACAAGTATATAAAAAAAAGTGCAAGGGTTTCCAGATTTTTCTAACATGTCTATCCCAGAGACATGTTAGATAAAACATGATAAAATAAAATGTTTTTAATGTCCAGCAGATAAAATGTTTTTAATTTTTTCGTTATAGAGACACTCAATCTTGCATATTTCAGGCGAATTTCAGATAATAGAGCTTCTTTTTAATTTCTCATAAATTTTAGCGTACCAGACAAACATTTTTCATTTTTTATTTAGATATTCTTCCAATTTTATGACTCCATCCTCCCTATATATCATTTGCGACCCTATATATACTTTATATGTATATATACTCTTCCTTATAATAAAACTCAATGTAGATCTAACTATAACCGCCCGTCTGTTGCTTTTTTGAGAATGGCTTTTTTGAGAAAGCAAATGGCTATAGAGATTTGAAATTTTCATTTGAGATGCATATATTTACTCACGTGCAAAATTCCGTCACTGGAACTGCTATTTAATATAACAAGCTTTTCATTTCATACTACAACACTATAAGGCTTAATTTTTTTCATATCAATATTTTGTTTTGAAAATAATATTCTCACAAATTTCAACATCGGGTAATTCTGGTAAAATAGATTTTAGAATACAAAAAATTTGTATATGCCTCAAAAATACAAATAAATGCATATACAAAACAAACACAAAAAAAAGGTATCCATATATCTTAAAATATTTAGAATACTAAATAAAATATGTATATATGTATAGATTAAGGTATATTTAAATCAAAATAATAAAAACGGAGTCTGGATTTTAAAATACATAAATATATAGTATAATAGAATTCATATAACACTTACTACTACTACCATAACCAAACAAATACACATTAATTACAATACATTCATAATATTTATATGACGAATTTACACTATATTTGTGTACACGAGGAGTATGGGTTATGGCAAAAACATGACTGCGTATAAAATAATTTTTTTTTTTATTAATATTTTTGTGTTAAATGATGCATTTGTGTGTGTGTGTGTTTTTGTGAACTGCTATTATATGATATTCAACTATGTTTATGATACAGGGTGTGCTCAGTAAAAAGTACAATATTATCTATCATTGTTTACGGCATCGAAAATGGGTAAACTTTTTTTTTGGAAAGTAGTTGTCAAATCTCAACGGGTTCCGGGATACGAGTACAGTAATTTTAATGAATTTTCGTGAAATTTGTACTTGTCCAAGCTGTTACTTATAATTTCCCTTCTGAAAAAGATAGAAGGTTCATACAAACAGTTCTTGAAAGGCCTAGTAAAGGGCTTGAAGGTGAAATGTAATTCATGTACTTTAGAAATTCTAAACTTTCGAACAAATTTTGCATATCGAGTTTTCGGTGGGAATGTACTTCTCCATGGTAGGGAACTATTTTTAGCAACCTGTCGGTCTGTCGGCAAGTCGGTCTGTTTGTGTACGCGTGTATCTCAACTTCGACTGTCACTTAACTAGACAATACACATTATAGTTGGTTATGTGCTGATCACATTAGATTTTTTAAGTTTTCTTCATCCCCAGAATTTCGTGTGAAATATTTTGGAAACTTCAAAGCAAATATTTTAACAACTTTCGATGCTCTAAACAATGATATATAATATTGTACTCTTTACTGAGTTACCTTGTATAAATAGTGTGTGTGTCTGATAATATAAAAGATTATTGTTGCAATTGCGGCGCAATTCTCGCACAAAAACACACACACACGAAGAAAAAGTGTTTTTTTTTTTTTATTATTATTATTGTTTTTATGTTGTTGTTGTTGTTTTTAATATTTGCTGTTGTTTTTGAAAAGTTGAAAATTTTTTTTTTTTCATTTTTTTCTGTTGTTGATTTTGTTTTTTTTTTTTTTTACATTACATGCTTCATTATTATATTTGTTTTTGTTATTATTATTACTGTTTTTTTGTTATATATTGTTATTATTATTTTTATTATTTTTATTGTATGAGGAGATGGTTGTATGCTTAACGAAGAAAAATATAATTTTTAGTTATTTTACAAAATATACACGAGTGTAAATTGGAAATTTTTATAAAGAAAAGAGCGCGGTCAAAAAAATTTTAATATTTACATAAAAAAAAAAATAAATGAATAAATAAAAAAATAAAAGAAAGAAAAGAAGAAAGAAAAAAAGTAAATGAATTTAAATAAATAAATATTAAAAAATAAATAAAATAAATAAGAGAAAAAAAAATTAAAAAATTTTATTTTTTTTACACCACGATTGTTGGTGTTTTTCGTTTTTTTTTTCCAAAAATATAAATTTTTTTTTTCAAAATTCTTAATATAAATTCTCAATACAAAAAATAAAATCAAAATAAGAGAGGAAAGAGAAAAGGAAAAAAAATTTTTTACTTAATTTTTGTTTTTTTTTTTGGTTTTTTTTTACAATAACACGCATTCAAACAACATTCGCATGTATAAACGCAGTGACAAAATATAAAATAATTAACTAACAACGGTATAATAAAATAATACAGTTATTCCTTTTATATTTTGCATAATAATAATAATAACTATTGTATTTTGTTTTTATTGAATAAAAAACACGCGGAAATTTAACGCGCGTAAAAACGTTTAAAATAAATATAAAACGGTAAACAATAAAAATATTTTATATTTTTTTTTTTAAATTTTATTTTATTAATAAAGTGCATGAATGAAAATATATGTATAAATATTTAAAATATAAAAAAAATATTGCAATAATAACTGGCATAGTTTTAATATTAAAAATTGCATATTGTTAGGGGTAAACAAATTATTTAATTTTTTTTGGAAAATTTTATAATTTTCAACAGCCTATACAAAACACAGATACAGATATAAAAAAAAAATATAATTTATTGTGAAATATTTTATTGTAAAAATCTATGATCAAGAGGCAAAAATAACATTTTTAAGTGTTTGAAAAAATCACTGTTTATTTTCAATAATTTCCATTCTTTAATTTTTTTGTATATATATACATACATAAATATATGCAGTTATATAAAAAAGAAATTAAAACTGGATGAAATAAAGAAATGTTTCCGTCTTTGTCATTCATTTTCAAATTTTGTACTAAAATACATTTTAGTAAATCACACAACTGGGTTTAGTTTTTTCCACAATAATTTGCTTATAGTGATTTAGAGACTTTAAGCTGAAAAATTTTATCATATGCAAAATACGTTTTTATTAATATCAAACTTTTTACGATAAATATTACTAAAAATATCATTTCAGTAATTCCCTATAATACTAAGACTGTTTTTGAATCTATCACACTATCAGCACTATGCATTATTGTATTTTACCATTGAAGTGTAACATTTCTGATTTTCCAAGAAGTAATAATACGATATTCATATACAATTCATTTTATAAGCATTAATTTCTGAATTGTGTATTAATACCGTATTACAGTTTTTTTTTTTTTTTTGGAAGTGAAATGACTTATTTTACACACAATATTTTTTGTGAAAGCGCAAAATTTTATTTGTTTTATTAAGAATTATTGAATTATTTACTTTTTTGTTTATACAAAATAGCAATACAATGGATAAATTAATATTATTTTCTATTTAGTTTTTTATTCAATTTTAATTAATTATAGTGTTGATTTTAAAATCGTAAACACAGATAATTTTTGTACGATATGCGCTCTATATAGAGTATTTATAGATCACATGTCTAGTACAGCTAGTGTGAATTAGTTTTCTTATTTCTTTTTTCTGAAAACTCACCAATTAGTACATAAAGAATTTTAGGATGGTTATAGCCATTTTGAACTATATATATAAATTATATTTTAAAAATTTTTGATGGTTTTAAATAATTCAAAATATATAGATTGCCGATTGATCACTTCATCTATTATTTGCAATAGTCGATAAATTTGTAATTTTAATTTATTTAATAAAAATATGACAAATTGCTATTTAAAAAAAAATATTATTCTTCAATATTATTAAATATATGGAAGAAAAATTCTTTTTCTGTTTCTCTAAATTATTATAAACGAGAAAAAATAGAGTTGAACATACCTATTCGAATTTGTTATCCTATGGGTAATATATATGCCATAGCTGACCATATGAGACAGACCATGATTTTAATTACGCTGGTTTTGTTTTATAAACGGTTACAAATGAAGTTTTTATGGGTTTAAATGTGTCACATAAATATTTTGGTTTGGAATAATTCGAAAAATATGCAATTGCAAATAATTATAAAATGAACAAGTGTGCTATAGTCCAATATAGTTTTAGAATAGAAAGGACAAACTAACAATAAAGTAAGCATATTTTTTGCTGTAATATCCTTACAAAATATTTAAGAAAATAATTGAGAAAAGTGGTTCTAAACCACAGAAAATATTTTTTTTATATTTATTATAATTAAATTAATCCGATATATTTTTATATGAAATAAATACATGAAATAATATTATATAAAATATACAGTGCGGGGAAAAAAAATTAATCAAAAATAAAAATTATATGAAGAGAGAAAAAAATATACAAGAAAAGAATAAATTTAAATAAAATAATTTTTTAAGAAAATTTCAGAAAAAAGAGGAAAAGTGTATATACTAAAATTTCATTTCAAAAATTTAAGAGTAAATATAAAAATTTTAAATTGCAAAATTAATTAAAAAAATATTTATAAATGATGAAAATGATTTTGTTTTTAACATTTCCAAAAAAATTTCAAGTATATTTCTAATAATTTATGAATTCTAATCAAATTTAATAAAATTTAATATTTTTACAGTTGTTGTGTACACACAAAAATATAATTAAAATAATTAAAAAAAAATACAATTGAAAAATAATTGGAAATTTTATATAAAACAAATATGTGAAATTTTAAAAAAAAATTTATAATTAAGAAAATAAAGTGCGTATATTATTTTAAAATTTTTAATATTTTCATATTTTTTGTATATGTATATATATATATATATATATATACATTCATATATTTTTATTACTTATATTTTCTTGAATTTTATTTTATTTTTTTATTATTTTTGTTTTAAACAACAAATATATTGAAATATATTTACAAAAATGTAAAAGTTCATTAACTTGCACCCCTGGAGTTAGTTTCAATTAATGTTACGGATCTCAGTCAGTTTTTGAGGAGTTCGAACTGGTTCGAATGGGAGGCCGAAAAGAAAATATTCGGCGGTACCACAACGGCCCTAAATTGACTAGGTGTATCCTTCGGGTAGGCCGCGTCAATCTTACTAACCTAATTTCAATCAAAATATAAGGTTATATAGCTGTAGTTACAAAGGGTTAGGTGTTAAAATGTAAAATTTCTTACCCTTAAAATTCTTACAAAACATTTTAAAATATTATTTAATTTTTTTATGGTACCTTATAAAAATATTTAAGATAATCAAAGGCTGTGTCTCTGAATTTACAAAATCCAGGAATATAGTCTTAATTAGATTTTATTAAAATCTCTTTATAAGAAACTAAAAAGAAAACTTTAAAAAATTATATTTTCTGAGAAAAATTTCGATTTGAGATTCATATGAGTTTTGTGGAGTAAATATAACAAGTATATTCAAATATTCTTTAAAGGACGAATAAGAAAAATAAATTTTTAGTATATAATTGTTGTGTCGAAGGGTGTTGTGCCATACAAAAATTTATCTTTTTATCTAAAAATTTTAATTTAAGTTTTTATAGTGCAATATTATAGCAAAATACATGTATGTACAATAGATTTTAGAAAGAGCATTAATAACCTTATTTATATAGTTTGAATTTAATTAGACTGATTTCTATTAAAAATGATTATACAATTTCATGTTTCCTGGTAAATAGCTGTAGTAGTAAGAGAGGGGCACCACCTGCACACTCCCGTAAAGCCCATACACTTGGCTAACAGAGAGACCGTCGGTAACCAAAGACGTAAGTAGAAAAACCAAAACCCAACAACCTCCATGCAATCCGACCCACCAATCTTGGTAAATAACAAGATGGTCTAATATTTATAACAAAATTTTAATAAAATTTTCGATTTATTTTTTTTTTATTTAAAACTTTGAGAACGACAATACTATATATGTATATACGTGATTCTGTTATTGGGGAAAATTATAATTCTTTTAGAATTAAAAAATAAATATTTTTCTACTTGAAATTATAACGCGTAATCATTTGTCTTACATGCAATTAAAATTCAAAATATTTTGAAAATCTTTGTTTTCAAATATATTTCATTCGTCTTTTGGTTGCAGTAGCAATAGATAATCTGTTTCATACATCTACAGTGCAGGCCCATAAGTCTTTCAAGCATCGGTTTATAGCATTTTTATTTGTAACCGAATCAGTTACAAGAATCATCATTTTCTTAAAAGATTACCATTAAATCGCTTAACTGTGCTGAACGGTTACTACGTTTCCAATTTATGTTAAATCATATAAAATTTTTCTTTATGATTAAAATGAAATTTTATAATACTGTTAAAACAGTTTTATTAAATTAATTTTGTAAAACCTTCTGCTTTTTTTTTAAATGAATATTTAACAGCAGCAAAATTTCTGATGTGTATTCTTTGATAATCTTGACAATCGAAATTTTGCATGAATTTTTTAATAAAAACTAAAATTATGGTTGATTTGGTTCGTACCTTTTTTTTTGTTTTAATGATCAGAGTTGTAATATAGTCAATAAGATCAAAGATTTAACAGCAATAGAAAAATAAAAAATTGCAGTTCTTTGATTTATAATTTAAATAAGAATTTTTGAATTTTTTTTGATAGGGTTTCTAATATGTTCCTATACAAGTTTCGCTGTATCGCAAGCATACACCCCCAACAATGGTTTTCCTTTATTTATGCATTAATGCTTATTTAGGTTGTCTTTAAGAGGAATATCTGGAAATTTTGTTCTCCTATTAATAAAAAAAGCTGATATAAATCGATCTTTAAAATAATATTCAAACTATTTGCTATTTTTAGCACTTTTCCAAAAAATTTTTGAAAAAAAGTGCATATTAGTTTCACTCTGTTCGTCCGTCCGTCCGTTCGTCCGTCTGTCCGTGTGTCTGTTTACAAAACTTCTACACCCTTGAAGATAAAAGGCTGAAATTTTATACGTACATAGATCTTTACTAGTAACCCTTTTCCGTAGAAGAAAATTTTCACCTATCTCCCCCCATCTAAAAGTTATATCCCCCTAAAAAACTAAAAACGGCATTTTTTAACTATTTATTGCATTGAAGCCATTGCAATAATTAAATCAAACATCAAATTTTGTAAAAGCAGAAAAATAGTAGCTGGCTTCTTCTATCGCGGGATACCATTTCTGGACTTTAAAAAAAAGAAAATGGCGGTTAAAATTTACTGTTATCTAAAACCCGTTTTCCCCAAATTTTTGATATCATTTTTCTTCTACACCGTACGTTGCATGAGTCTGAAATTTCAGACTCCTGCAACGTACTTCAGGAATAGTTTATTTCGTTAGAAGAAAATTTTTTACCATCTCCATCCCTTCTCAAGTTATCACCTCGCGAAATTTGTAAAATTTCAATATTTGGCACCTTATATTTGTGAAACTACAAGCTTTTTTAAAATTTCTATAAACGCAGAAAGCTAACGGTAAATTCCATGTCATTAAAAAATATAATTATTTTTCTTAACTCACATAATAAGCACTTAAAATCGAGCATCATGTGAACAATTCTTTAAATAAAATTTTGCTTTATTTCAAAGACTGCATAAATCTTTCATCCTAAACATATGCAATCCTAGAAATAGTTTCGTTTATGAATGAAAATAATTTTAATAGTGTGGTAGGTGCTCGTATACATAGACTATATTAATTAAAAGCAGTATTTCCATTTGTGGAAGGGAAAAATGCTGCAATACAAACCATTGGTTTGACCCAATTTTATTTAATAGTCGTTCCATTTCCTATATGCGTAAAATTTGTCATATAATTCTTGAATTTTATTTTGTATGCCTTACATATCCCCTGCTTTTTTCTTGAATTTGATTTTGATTGAGCTTAATAAGTCGTTGTTAGGATAATGTAAAAATCAATGTAAAATTTTAGTTGTTACATTTTGCCTAATATATTTCTTAAGCCTTATATCGTATAGGATAATCAATTATACTATACGATGTTAGGATCAATTAAAAAAAAATTATTTTATATAAAGCCCTCCCTCCATATCCAAAATAAGAAAAATTTTCCAATTTTTTTTTTTTAGAATTAGTGCTTAATAGTTTCTATTCAATAATTTTAATTATTTCAAAAAAATTCAAAATTTCATTCCAAAAAATTCCTCAAATTGTTTTATAATAGGTTTTAAAGAAAATTGTATTATGCTTAAAAATAATAAGATTAACTTATTTAAAAAATCTAAACATAAAAATTTCAATATTTTTTATTGCAATGTATTAAATAACAATAAAATGAAAATACAATGAAAAAAACAAAGAAAAATATCACCCCAGTGGGAGTTTTTATATATGAGATTTTATAGGAAGCAGAATTTCTATATAAAATTTTAAATTCTTATTTCCTTAACAGTTTGTTTTTCTTTTTAAGTATGAGATAATTATTTAATTATTATTATATGAGATTTATAATACTAATAATATTTAATTTAAATTGTACAAGTATATAATAATAAAAAAAAAAACAAGAGAAAAAATATTTTGCTTACCCTTAAAGCAGGAATCTAAATGCATGTGATTATTGTATCCTGCCGCATGTATCGTACCGCACTATTCCTTCTCTGTTCTTCACTATTAAAAATTTATAATAATAAAAGCTATCGCGGGTATTTCATATATATATATATGTGCGATTTAACACATATATGAATTATCTGTAAAAAAAGAAAAGGATAATAAAGGATATGAGTTTTAAAAAAAAATAGTTTTTTTTTTTTAATTAAATTTTGTTTTAGAGAGAGAATAATTTTGTGTGTGTGCGTGTGTAAAATTAAATATTTTCCCCTTTTATTTTTAAAGAAAATTTTTTTGGCTTTTGCAAAATTTCATATAGAGATATTGTTGGAAAAATAAAAAAAAAATTTTGAGCGCCCACTTCGATTAATATTTTTATGAAAAAGGATTTAATAATTAAAAAAAAAAAATGAAAGAAGACACATAAAGAATATTTTTGTTAAGAAGGAAATTACATTTTTTTTTTATCTTAAAAAATCTATGAAAATTCTTCTTATTTTATTCTTAAATTTTATTAATTTATTATTGTTGAAGTTTTATTGTGCATTACGCATTCATACTTCTCTAGTATAAGAATATTAAAAATATTCAAAAATATAGGAAATTTAAGTATATAAGAATGTGTGGATGAAGGAGTGTGTTTATTCAAAAATGAATTAGCGAAATTTTAATTTTAATATTGAATGGTGTCTCTGCCATTCAATATTAAAATTGAATAGCGTCGCAATATTTTAATAATGAAATGAAGTTTTTCTTATTTTGTTTATATAATGTTTGAAAAGCCAAATGCTAGGTTAGATTAGGGTGACGCAGCTATCCAAAGGTATACTCAGGCTGAGTAGACCCCGCTAGATCTCCGTATCCACACCTTCACGAGAACTAACCCGAATTCTGAGTTTAAATTTCGATATCTGAGAAGCATTGCTCTAAAATTGAATTTTATTATAGGGAATATGATGAATATATGACAAATAGTATGGTCCTATTAAGGTTTATTTCCTCATAGTATTTTTTTAATATAAACACTATATCTAGCATAATTTTCTTCATAACTCATGATATCTTTAAGCATAATAGTATGCCAGTTAAGCATACTATCCTATATTAGGCAGTTTAATGTGATCAAAACTCTCAATTATAAAATCTATTTGAGTTGTTTTATTCATATATAGTTGGTGATAGGAAAATTGAATGTCTTGCTTTCAAAGGGCTTATAATAGTTTGTTATTTGTTTCTTTTAGCAAATATATAATATATTCCGTGTATGCCTACCAGATGTAATTTAAAAATTAATTATAACTATAATATGCAAAAGCATCATGAAATACATTTGTAGAATAATGATCATTTGCGCTGAATTTTCGCATTCCATTTGTGTGATTTTGCACTAAATATTGCAGTAGCTGTTCAAGACTCATATCTAGCTGCATATATAGAAAAATCAATAAATAAAATTAAATTTTCCTAAAATAATTTTGTAATATAGTCGCTAACTATTATTCTACTAAAATTTGTCATATATGGTACTTTCATAAGTTTTAAACAGTTGAACCATAATAACTTTAATCATTTATAATATATCGGCGTATAGGGACTACATTTTGCAAGTAATATGGCAAATTTGATAATTAAAGGTTCCAGTTGAGAATTTCGGCGCCCTATATACTAGTTAACAAAATAATTCCGATTGCATTGCAATATTTATGATAGCTTCCAAATTACTAATTTTATTTTTAAAATTTATCAAATATCCAATTAAATACCAAATATGTAATTAATGTGTTTCAAAACTAAAAACTAAGCATGCACATTCAAAATTTAGTGCGCACAATTTTCACAAAGCTTACACTCGTTTTATATTTACGAAGTCCCATTTAATAGTTAGTTTAATACCAGTGCTCATTGAAGGTGCATTCGTAAAAGAAAATTTTGCACATTTTGAATTTATGAAAACGGGTTTATTGTACTCGTATAGATTCCATGAGAACTTTTGGAAAGTATACTTCGCACGAGTATAAGAGAGTTGTTGTCTTCTTTTTTTTAACATTTACCGGCCGTTCTTGCATATAATAAGGTAGTTTATGTGATGGCAACAAATTTTGAAATATCGAGTTTTCAGTGGAACGTACTTGTCTATATAGTAGCGAAGCTTAAATAAACTATTCTTAGAGAGGCGTCGGTCTGTCTGTCTGACTGTTTGTATATGAACGCGTGCATCTCAAGTTTGGCTGAACCGATTTTCATGAAATTTTATATGTGAGTTTGTTTTTGCTATATTATAGATTGATCAACTTTTGTGATATATCAGACCTCGTGAACTGAACGTTTTTCCGGGCAAATTTTACATTTTTTCGTACATAAAGAGAAACCAATTGCAGTTAAATTTAATATTTAAATTTGGAGTGTTAAAACAAAGATTTTGTAAATTTTTTGGAAAAATCAGGACTCGAAAACCAAATTTTTGGCCGATTTTACGTTTTTTATCATATATGCGGAACTAATTTACGGAATTTCTTGAAAATTGATAATTGAGCTCTGGTTGTTACCGAAACTAACTGGTGAACTTTTCAGGGAATTCACAAAGCGAAACTCTACTAAGAGTTAAATTTACATTTTTCTAGTTATGTTAACTAAGAGCTTACTAACGCTCTTAAAATTATAAAGGAGGCATTTTTATAATATTCTGTAACACTTGCACTTAACTAGATAATACACATTGCGGTCGATTATGTGCTGATCATATCAGCTTTTTTTTGTTTTTTATTCCACAACTTTTATTTTGTTTAATTATTGAACTGGTACTTCTTTTAATTTTTTTTTCTTGTTTTAAAATAATATTAATAATTTTAAATAGTGAAAATCTTTTAAGAAAAAATCTCAATTGAGAAAAAAATTATTAAATTTAATATTTTCTTCTTCTTTTTATTTTAAGTGTTAGTTTTGAAATCGTGATTTAATTTTGAAAATCAAGAAAACACACTAATTGTAGAAATTCATAAATGTTTTGTAGTTGTGTGGAATTTAAAGTACAAAATTTCATATACGAATGATTTTTAATAAGACAGAAAAGAGAGAAAGATTTAAAAAGAGAAGTGAAAACGAAAAAAAAATTTGTAATTAAAATAGTAAAATTTTCAAAAAAATTTTATGTACTAAAGAAATTATTTGTTATTAAAAATTAATATTAAAAAAATCTGAAATTACAAATACGCACAAAATTCAGAAAAAAAGAATCGTAAAAACACATACAAATAAATTTTTTGAATTTTTGTTTTTTTTTTTGAATTTTTGGAGTGGACAGTAAAAAAAAAATTTGTCAAAATTTTCGCTTTACAGACAACACCAACCATGGGTGCAACTGTAGCCCCGTGGCCTGGTTCCATTATGGATAGAGTAACATCACTTGATGACATGCCACATAAAGGTAAGGAAAAATAATTAATTCTTAATTCATTTCTTTGGTTTTCAAATTTTAACATTGTATACGCATTATTTAAGTTTAATTTTTTCTGTTTTTAATTTGACTACCGTTTTGTTTTTACATTCATCAGTTAAATATCAATAATTGTCGTATTTCATAAATATTTTTGGGTCATATATGGGAATTGCAATTTTCTGAACTTTAAAGTTGAAAATCGTATTTGTTTTCCTGTCTATTCCAAAAAATAAAATTTAATTAATTTAGAATCATAAAATTGTTTTATAAGTTAATGGCAATTTTGGGCAACTTAAAAAATTGCAGTTTTTTAAAATTATAATTGCTAAAACTGTGATAAACGACAAGTTTTTACAGTCAGTCAAAAAATTTTCATACATCTTGAGAGTTTTACTTTAAAACCTCAAAACATGCACTCTTATAATAAATTTTAAAAAATTAAATTTAAGTATTCGTTTCTTTTGTATTTTTAAAAACAATTTTATATCAATTTAAAAATTTTTTTCACGAAATAGGGAAACCCTCACATTAAAGAAAATTTTAGGTATAATTTTTGGTCAAAAAAGTTTTCATACAGTAAAATTCCATTTTTTTTTGAGTAATTTAATTTTTTACATTAAAAATATAAAATTTTATTGCATGGCTGGTGTATTTATTGTGCGAAATTACGTTATCAATAAAATATGGGCCGAGGCCATAAAAAATCTCACCCAACATGCGTAACTTAATTGAAAAATTATATTTGGAGAAAATATCTCTTCGAAAAATTGAGCCCAGTGTTAGCACAGCTCAATATGTGATTAAAAACTATAAAGAAACTGGAACAACTACAATAAGGTTACGAAGCTATCGGTTGTGAAAAAAGAACCTAAAATTTCAATTCCTTCTATAAAACAACAATGGGAAGATTTAACAATTAAAAAATTGTAATCCTCAAATTGTCCGAAATATCTTAAATGGTGCTGGTTACAATGGCCGTTCACCTAGGCAAAAACCTTTTATGTTTAACAAAATAAAAAGAATTTAATTTGCCAACGAGCACTTAAAAAAAATAAAAGATTTTTGGAGTAACATAATTTTTTGCGATTAAAGTAATTTTAATATATTTGGTAGTGATACCCATTCGAAAGTGTAGCGAAAGCCAAATACGGTTTCCAATAAAGATAACATTTTGCTAACAATGAAACACAGTGGCGTTTATGTGATGGTATGAGGCTTTATATGAGTGTTGCTGGGGTCAGTAATCTTGTTTCATTGACAGCATCATGGATAAGAATGGTTCTTTGTACATTTTAAAGAATAATTTAAGATCAAGTGTCCAAAAATTGGGTCTAAATAGGCAGTCGTTCATGTTCCAAAAAGATAACGACCCCAAAAACAGTGCAAAAATTGTTAAAGGATGGCTGATTTTTAATGTGCCAAAGCAATTACATTCGCTCCCAAAATCACTTGACTTAAACCCAATTGAACATTTGTAGGATTTATTGGAAGGACGTATTAGAAGGCATGAAATTACGTCGGCCAGCAACGCTTAAATAAGTGCTTTTGAAAGAATAGGGAGTTATAAAACCAGAAAAGAGAGTTTGAGTGCTGTAATTGAAGCAAAAGACAATCCAACTAATAATTAATAACGATTTGTTTCCAATTTTTTTTTGCAATAGCGTAACTATTGAAAAACGACTGTATGAATACTTTTTTGATGTTATTTTTGGTTAATTTTTTGTTTTCTTTATTTTTTTTTTATCTTAAATTTGAATAATTTTTTGTGATAACTAGGAATAAATAAAATACAAAATTTAAATTGGATATTTTTAACGCTATAAGATTGAGAGCTAAGACTGTTTTCAATCATTTAGTGTATGAAAACTTTTTTGACTGACTGTATAATCAGTGGAATAAATTTAGTATTGTTGGAATTAAATTAGCTTTCAACTTAATCTCATCTATTATATTACTTCATAGAATAACCCCCCCCCCCCCCCTCACCCAGTTATTAAACTTTAGAAATTATAGAGGAAGATTATATCTATGTATTTTTTTTCATTCCTTACTCTCCAAGGAAACAACACAGGGTTTCAACATAACCTTCCCAGCTTTCTCTGTTTTGTGTCTTCATTCTAGGGTTTGACGTGCTCCTGATGGTACTAGGCGTCTTACGATGTGACCAAGAGTATATTTATATCCGGATAATTAATTATTTTAAAATCAAAATTAGTCTTTTCTGTTAATTAATTTTGTTTTTGTAAAAATTTTCATATTAGTGTTTTATAGTCCTTCATTCTTAAAATTGCAATAATATTGAAGTATTAAATATAATTTCGGCTAGTATTATATTACGACTGCTGAAATATATATTAGTATTTTTTTAATACAATGTCTCTAGGTTCTTTAAACACATAAAACGAAATAAAAATTTGTTCTTTTATTATTTAATTTTTAAAAAATTTACTCATACATATTAAAAATAAATTAATTACTCATAATATTTTGTAATTAAATAAAAAAATTAAAAATTTCAAATTCAAATTTCTCAAATAATTGAAGTTTATTTTATATTATCCTTATTTATATTTTTTGTATATTTGTAGACAATATCACTGCTATGCAAAATCTTTGTTCAACAAATGGATTTAAAACTTTGGGGACTACAGCATGTCAAGGATCATTATCTAGTTCATATTTAACTTCTACTTATTATCATTTAGCACCAGATGATGAATGTATGTGTGTCCTTATAATAAACAAAAAAAAAATTTTTTTTTTTTTGGTATAAATTTTTTTTTTAAATCTTTCTAATTTTTTTATTTAAATAATTCTGTTAACAGTAAAATTAAACTAAAAAAAAAGCAATACAAAACAAAAATTTGAAAAAAAAATTAAAGGCCTTACATGCAATTTTTTGTAGCCCCCCCTTCCCCCCAAATTTTTTTTTTTTATATTTTTATAATTTTTCATTAAAAAAACAAACCTCCACACAGTTCCCACCCAAATAATAGTCCACCCAGACCCTGTTTAAAAATTTTTTAAAATTAGGTTTTTTTTTTCTGTTTTTTTTTTTTTAAATTCTAAAAATCAGAAATAATTATGACAGATGTCACACTCATGATATACAGCTGAATTATTGTATACAGTACTGTTAATTTTAATGTTAAAATAATCTGTGACTTAAAAATTGCAATTATTCTGTATTGTTACAAAATTCAGCAATTATTGGTTATAAGCTGAATTGTGTATTTAATTATTGCTTACAATTTTTAAGTTAGAATGTTTTTATTCAATTTAATTAATTCAAAAATTATTGATGTACGAATAAGCCCTATTCAGCATAGGTTTTTTAAATTGATTTTTAGAATTTAAATTTGTTGTAGCAAAGCAATCGCAAGAACTTCAATTTAAAATTTTTGTAAAATATTACCCTTTCAATTAATTAAAAAATTAAAATTTTCACCTTTTTTTTATAACTACAAAATATCCCTGATTTCGGATTTGTAATAATACCGTATCGATACATGATTCAGCTGAATTGTGCATTAATACAGTACTATTAGAAGACCGATCTCATCTTATAGTTGCGACAACAAAATTACAGTCGACGCAATATTAATAAGCTTATATCTTGCAACTGATGAATTGTGTATAGTAATACTGAATTATATTGTAATTTTGAAGTCACGATTTTTTCTAATAAAGTATTTTTTAAATGAATATTAAATTGTCATTTATGGAAATAATTACATACATGTCTATAAATATTTGATTTATAAAATTTTCAAAATTTATGAGTATATTTTCTCAAAATTTATATGTATGAGTATATTTCTTAAATTAAATAAGTATTTATTTAAATATATATGTATTGTATATATATGTATATATGAATGTATAATATTTCAAAAAATAATTTAATTATGATTGTGCTTTATTAAACATCATAATTGTAAGTATATAAAATTTAGAACATTTGAAATTCATTAAAAAATTCAATATTCAGATAAACTACAAATTGCAGAAAAACAAATATAGATTAAATCAGATGCACGTAAAATACCATATCAACGACATCTTATTATTATACTTAGGTCTTTATGTCATTTAATTGAAAAATCTTGAGATAAAAAAAAAAAAAATCTAAAGGATATTGTAAGAATGTTGGATATCGAATAAAATTGATACTGATGGGTTTTTCTCAAGAACTCAAAATATAATTAATGAAAAACGGGTAAAAGATTCTTTTAAAAAGGAAAATAAGGAGTCGAAGTACAAAAATTACGAATTGACCAAGCGAATTGATTTAAAAGAATCACTGATAAGAATAAATAAGTAAACGAACGAATAAATTCACGAACGATCGAATAAATTCTCAAACACACGAATGAATTAACAAATAGACACAAACTAACCATAAACACCTTAATTTACGAACGAGTGATTATGAAACGATACTACTTTAATTTAAAAAGGAGCTCGTAAACACCGTTAGTAAATATGGGCGATACGAATGAATTTGATATTCATTCGTATCATCCAAATAGTACGATACAAATAGGATTTGTAATAAATCGGAGTATATGAGTGTTTTATTATATAATTTAACTTATACGAAGCAAAAGCAATACTTTTTTCACAATTATAACTGTAAAATTTGGAATGTTTTAATATTACCACTTTTTATTTTTTTTTTTGTTATTGTTATTTTATTCAATTAAGTAATCGAATTCTAAAAAAATACATTTTATGTACATGCACATTGTTATTCTATTTATATACGTCATAAATTAATGAAAATAAATATTCGACCATTATCGAAATAATTCAGAAAAGTAAAGCAAAAACAAAAAAAAATCAAAAATATTAACTCAATGCCGATTAGAACTGATCAGATCCCATTTCACGTGATTTAAATAAATTACAACAAAAATAAAAATAAAATCAAAATAAAATAAGAATTTGTGGTCAATTTAACAAAAAGTTGATATAGTCGTCTCTAT